AATTTTACTACTTGGCACTTTCTGGATAGAGGTTGAAAAAAAAAAAAGGCAGCCTACACCTATATAAGGAAGCAACATAATTCATCTTACCCATTATATAAAGGACTAAAATCCATCTGACATCCAATTTTCATGAATGCAGAAACAGTTTGTTAGGAGGCTTCAAGGTACCAGAAAACAAAACAAAACAAAAAAAACCACACACCAAAACCCACACCACCAATGTATCATAAGTAGTTGCTCATCCATACATCTTTCCAACTGGGAATAGCCTTCTTTTCAGTTCACGATAGTCTCTTTTTCTTCAACATCAATCTGCACCCCTTACCTCTGTTTTAAAGCTTTCCGACATGTCTCAGCAAGTACTGCTTAAGCAATTCAGAACAGCTGGGTACAACAAATGAGGCATCATCCTTCTTCTTAAGCTTGCATGTCTCAAAACGCCAGCTGAACAGCCATTTGGATCAGCAAACCTCCAACAGCTGTTTAGTGTTACATCACCACATTGACAAACACAATTTCCAAGAATATAGGGGGTTCCTTTTTTTACAATTGAAACTGTTAGATTTTACTCAATTACTTTCTGAATGGATCTGTTTATTTTTTACTTGACTTGGTACCTACAAATTTTGTACCTATACAGTGACATACAAAGTGCAAGAATTAAGCCACATTACCTTTAATACTAATGACTGTAGTTTTATTTTTTTGTATATAGGTTGAAAGCTGTGTATAGTCTTTTGCATTAGTCAAGAAATACTGATTTTTTTTTTTTTAACTGACAACAAACACATTTTACATTTTCCAGAATAAGTAATACCAATCTGCATTGATCCTTGATATCATTAAATGACTCATGTCTCTGCTACAAATTCCTGTTTCCCTTAAGAAACAGCTCTAACAAATGACAGTTCCAGGGCAACAGCTGGTGTGTTTTCTTATCCTGTCTCTGTGATTATAATGAGTTACAGTATTTATGCCAATGCAGCTCTTCATCTGGGAGATGCTATCCCAAGCCATCTTTTAATAGTCAGTATTAAGCACAGCTCTATTTTTTTATCAACTAAGTACGTCAGAGATACAAATAACCACAAATCAGTTCATTCCTTTGTCATGTTCGGCACAGGTTCACTGCAACTAGCTGAAACATACATTCATATATATGAAGATCGGAAAAGAAGAAGAGAAAAAGCTGGAAATCAGTGCAGTAGCTTCCTAATTTCTGCATGGTCACTACCTAGGCCTCGAATACTGCCCTTTCATAAATGTATGTATGTAAAAGAGCTCTAGTCTCACTATGCCTCAGCTCTCACATGTTACAAAGTTGCAGCAGAGTCTTTACCTGAAGAACGCAACTCTTAATGAACACACCATCACTATGGACCCTTAAAAGGTACAATGTCTCAGCTCACAAATCAAATGCATTTACCTTTGTACAGTATGTAAAAGGGCTGCTCTCCTAAGTCCCTGTAAG